ACATATATTTGAGGAAGCAAAATATACAAAAACTCATTGAAAAATTTCCTTTAAATACTCTTCTTCCTTTTAGGTTCTATGTACATTTGGCCCAAGTTATATAAGTGGAAATATGGTATCTACAGTTAAAAGAAGACTGAATGATACTCTGGTTAAAGAGAAGGTCATTAAGTCAAAGGGTCTTTTCATATCTTACATTTATTTTGAAAAATATTACAGGTACTGTGACAGGGATAGGACCTGCTCCTTGTGATATTTCCTCCCCAACTCTGATAAACGTAAGTATTCCAGAGTTGCAGTACAGCAGGCTGGCAGGCTGGACCAACGGCCTATACTGTTGTTTGTGTTCCACATCAGTGTGAATGCCCAAGGCAATGCTTTTGAGTACTGAATTTATTCTTTTTTTTTTTTTTTTTTTTTTGAGACAGCAGAAAAAAAGCAGTTCTGGAGGCCATCATGGTTGCCTTTTTGTTGTAAAAGGGTTAATACAGTGATAATACTCTGAAAAACAACCACCTTTAAATAATAATTTAAGTACAATCATAGGCAGAAATACACACATATAATATTTACTTAACCTTTCCTTGCAAATATGGTATTTTATATTTTCTACTTAAATTTCTCAGGATAGATGAAGCCTGATCACAAAGAAACCTTTGAACCTGTTTTAAAAATTAAAAGTAGGGCTTTTTACATATTTTTCCTGGTAATGTCTCTTTTAATATCTTTACTTGATGCAGTTATGTAGGAGGAAAATCCACTCTAATAACACCAGGGGAGGGTCCAAGAAAACATGCACTGCTTGTGCTGGTTTTCATAAAAATGGTATCTGTCTGTTAAGAAATGGGAACATTTCATAAAATACAAACACAGTACCTTTGAGACTGAGAATTCATAGCCTGAGATTTACATGGCTGGCAGGCAGGTTTTCCTGAACTGGCAAAAGTAAAACCAACATTAATGGGTAAATAGCAAAAAAGAAGGAAGGCAAGTATTTAACAGTCTGAACAGAGGAAATGAGCATCAGCTTTTGATGTTCAGTTTTACTTGTTGAATGTGAAAGTATTACATAAGCCCAGCAAAGGGCTTGCAAAGGCTTTAATACTTTCAATTTCTACATGGGATTTTAAGAATCTTTTTACAGCCATTGGGAAAAAGTGGAATCTTATTTGAGAACTGGTAGTAAGTAGCATGACAGTTGAAAAACATTAGAAATGTGGTTGAAAAATGGTCTAGTATCTGCCCAGATGCCAATTCAATTTCATGCCAATTTAACAACAAACTACTATTATGGAAATGTTATTGCAATTAATCTTTCTTAGTACTTTATTTCACTGTTAAACTAACATGAAATAAATAATGCTTTAGATCAAACAAGGAATTAGATTAGATTAGAAGGAATCAGATCTTAGACAACTGCTGTACACTGAGATGACTCTGGACACGTTCCTCTTTCTCTTCTTTTACAGCAAAAGCAGCAATAAGGGCTTGGTCTACATGACTGACTGTTCTGCTTAAGGGCATGAAGACCTAGGTGACACAGAAAGTATTTGCTGTGACAAAACTAGTAAAAGAGGTAAGATCTTGGAAGATACCATCTGAAGATAGCAAAATACATTAATCTGAAGACTATTTTCATTTCAGTCTTCCAGAATGGCTAAAACTAAAATGAAATAGATTAAAAAAATATTTTAATATATGTGTATATATATAATTATTTTGCAAAATTACACTTTTTACAGTCTTCTATGATATATAGGTCAATCCAGCTTCTAATAGAGGGAGTAGGAATTTTATAATTTTCATCTCCAAGTACAAAGGAGTAAAGAACAAAGATTAAACCCCTTGTTTACTGTAACTGAAAAAATGATGGAGCGGTGGAGGTACTCCAATCAATTTGTCTTTGTATACAGCATAGGAAATCAAGATCACCTAATATCTGCATTTTCACTTGTTTTTACAAAATAATATACTTTACCATTTGAGGATATGACACTACTGCAGCTTATGGCACATGACCTGCATTAGTGCAGATCTCTGCAATGAAACTTTCATTTCCATCAGATTTTCTGAAATGCTTCACAATGAAAGCTGGTGTCATCTGTGGTTTTAAAGACAGTTAAACATGGGGCTTTTTCCCTTAATAAGTTTCCGAAATGAAATCTTTTATAAGATGTCATGTTTGTTGTTTATTTAGCTTCTAAAAATCCAATAATGAACAAGTTCCCAATGTCCCTTTATAAAAACAAAAACATTAGGGTCTAACACAAGAGAATACTGAGCAGAGAGTAAAATAGAGCATCATGTTAGAAGATTGATCTAAAAATAACAAATTCATAGAGCACCTTAGTGAATCACTTTTATCATAGTACACATCTTAAATATTCTGAAACTGGTTTGTCTGAAAAGTGTTTTCTCCCAGTTTGTTTATTCTGCAATAAACTAACGGCTCATCTCTTCTTTTAATTCATAGTGAATAGTATTTTACTTCCCAAGAATTCCTACATCAGAGGGATGTGTGGAGATACCTGTGTACAGAAAGGTAGAATACAAACTGGCTTTTAGTTAAGAAAAGAAAAAAAAGGCCAAGGACATTATACAATAAGGAATCCCAAACTCTAGTAGGAACAATAAGTGGATTAAGAACAGATCCATCACTGTGCAGATCACAGTGAAATATTTTCAATATTCACATTCTGGTATGAAAATATTGATGTCTACAAATGAAACCAGGAAATACACACTAAGAGAACCAACTGTATACACCAATGAATTGAGCTTTGTAACACTGCTAATCAGTGAGAAGAAGAAAATTAAAACTTTAAGAACTATAAGTAAAGATATAAATGTCTGATTAAACATTTTCCTTTCAGAAACCAATCACTTTTCCTAGCACACAAAGAAAAAAACATATCTTCAAATATATATATTTGAAATCCATCTGAAAACCAGTTATCTTTGATTGTATGGTTTCTTTTCTCTCTTTTTCTTTTCTTTTTTTTTAAGTCTGGCAGCCTTTTTAATGTGAATGAGTTGCATAAAATATGCATTCAGTGAAGGACAAACTGGGTACAGTATGGTGAGTGCTCAAAACATTAAACATTAGATTACAGAACTGTATTATAGTCTCTTCTGGAATAAATATATTGTTAATTATTTTTTCCAAATCAACTCAAATTTAACAATAAGAGTGGTTCATGCCTCTCATTCCTAGCACATACCACTATCCACAGTCAAGGAAAGCTTTCTCTGAGGGCGTTTGTGGGTTTGGCCTTCTAAGAGTTCCCACTTCTAAACCTTTATATCAGAGACAAGACTCATTACTACCATTATTTTGAAAAGGAAAGCATGATTAAAAAATACCATTTAAATTCCTTAGGCTTATGTTGAGAGTGTTTAATTTGTACTAGTCACTGATATTGTGTATGGGTTTGTCTGCAAGAACATTTGAAATCTTAGTATTCAGTGTTTTTCACTTCTAACTTAGAAGATTGCTTCAGACATACTACACTTCTGAATAAAAGTAAAGGCAATGCTCCTAGTTAACCTAGTTATGGTTGCTTTGACACTAATAGTTAAGGACTGAGGAAAGTGAATGAAGTACAAAGTAATGATCAAGGAGTCCAGAGGAGGGCCACAAAAGATGATCAGAGGGCTGGAGCCCCAGGAAAGGCTAAGAGAGTTTGGACTGTTCAGATGAAGAAGTCTCCATGGAGACCTTACGGCAGCCTTTCAGTACCTAAAGGGAGCTTACAATAAAGCTTGAAAGGGACTTTTTACAAGGACATGTAGTGACAGGACAAGAAGGAATGGCTTCAAACTGAGAGTAGGTTTAGATTAAAGAAGAAATTCTTTACTGTGAGGATGGTGAGGCACTGGGACCGGTTGCCCAGAGAAGCTGTGGATGCCTCCTCTCTGGCAGTGTTCAAGCCCGCAGATGGGGCTCTGAGCAATTTGGTCTTGTGGAAGGTGTCCCTGCCCATGGTAAGGGGGTTGGAACTAGGTCATCTTTCAAACCCAAATGATTCTGTGATTCTATGAAAGGAAAAATAGAAGAATGACAGCTTATTAAAAGAAATGGGGATTGACCAAGAATTAATTATCAAGTAATTATTTTATAAATATCAAAGATCAATATTAAAAAAACAAGTCCTTCATAATTATTTATAATAATTTAAGATTAACATGTAGTTATTTTTTAAAAAAGTTGTATTATTTTCCTTTTCAGGTTGAACATGTATGACACTTTTAATCTATTTTACTGAAGATATGTATATGAAAAATAGAGATTTAATGTGTATTAAGGAAAAAAGAAACAAAGACTTTCTTTTAGAAAAGGATGCTTTTCTGAATTATGTAGAAGCATATATCAGAAGGTTTATTTGACAATGTACATCTCCTCTGTAGTGGATTTGACACATCTGGACCTGAATTTATACAGGTTTATGAACCAGGAAAAGCAATTGCATTGATGTTTTGTGTAGATTTTTAAAATAATTTACGCTTCTGAAATAGCCTTGTTAATTCATACAGTTGTTAATTCACTCTTTGTCAGTGCAGGCATTCTTCAAATTTCTTATCTACCAGGTTTAACTAAAAATCATAAATGCAATCAGATGATAACCACAGTACTCATGAGACTGACAATAAAATGGTCATCTGTGTCACACTTGCTATTCGTGTATTTCTTAGTGTGTTTACTGAGACAGCCTCAAGAATGTCTTAGAAGAATAAACCCCACAGATTCTGCTAATCTGAATGTATGCATATAGTATAAATCATATGCCATACAGCCTCCCCGTGTGATACACTAGAAGCCCAGAACCAACACTGAAGTCATGCAGACTGAGGAAACTTTTGCGTTTTTTGTCTAAAGCCAGGCAAAATATTCTTGCAGGGAATATGCCTACCAGAGGCAATAGGAAGATGTCTACAAGACTAACATGACTAGAATTAGAAAGCTGCAAAAAAAAAACCCTAAAAAACTAAAAAAACACCAAACAAAAAAAACCCCAAAAACTAATTTAGGAGGATAATAATTTCTCACTGAATAAGGATTCTTCATTTTGTGCTCTCTTCTATTGACTATAAATCACTCAGAGCAGACTGGAGCTTACACTGACCTCCAACTGATTAACCTAGTACAGTTTACATTTGTAGCATACATGAACTGGACATGTAGATATGGAAGGCATAACAGTCTTCTGTTATGTTAAAAGTATGCTGTAGTATTCAGTTATATGCAGATGTCTCAGGGAGTGTTCTACATATCATGAAGGAACAAAAAATGCTGAAGCTGGGATCTGTTAAGAGAACAGTGCTACCTTTGAGGTGCTTGGGTTTGATAGTGACATCAGTACTCAAGTAGAAACCTTGCTTACTGTGAGGCATTTTGTTCGAGTAAGGAAAGTAAATTGGTCCCCTAAGTAATATAGAATTCAAGTACTGTTAATTTCAGTGAAAGGACCCAGAAAAAAGAACAAAGGATATTTGTTGAGACAGAATAACAGATGCAATTATCTATTTTTTTACATAATTGTCATGTCAGATTTATAATTTTACATACATTCCCTTCTGAAAAGAAGTTGCAATGATTAGCCACACTATTTTCTTACAGTGCTCAGAAGGAAACTACCAGTTTCAAGACAGATTTCCTTGTCACAACTGCCTGTAAAAGAAACACATCACCAACTACAGTACAAATGCATACTATCATAAGATTTTAAATTTTTATGTGCATAAGGTGCAATCCAGTTTCTGTTCACAACATATTGGTCATAGATTTAAACCTTTTGGCAATTATAGGGTGTTTTTTTATTCTGTATGGTCCACAAGGTCTCTCTTACAGAGAAATAATAATAAAAAAAGTGTTTAAAGATCTCTTATAAAATTCAAAATTTCCAGCAAATAAATGTTTGTATATTGCCTGACCAAACTAGTAAAAAATAAATTGCTTTACTTGTTTTGTGATTTCCCCAGATTTTCTATGTCTTTAGTGAAGAGTTGTAAGGGTCAGTTTTTCTGGGCAACGGCACTAGTTGGGACCCAGATGACTGTGTGCACTCTGTACCTGATCAGGTGTCTTTGCTTTACTGATTTGGTGTTTGAGAAGTCCAGACGCTAATGCTCCTAATGATCAGCCATTCTTTTTGACTTTTGGTAACAAGTATTCTCATGCAGTTAACATCAAACAGAACTTTGTGCTCTACATCTGTTATTTCGAAATTCCCATTTTTGAACTCCCCTAGTCTCAAGTAAGTTGTACATTGTCTCCCTTTTTTATTGCCTACAATCTTTTCTCCTACTTCGAGGGCTCCATGATGTAAAATGTCATTTTGCCGATCTTCAGTTCCAGTGACAACTTTAATTTTACTGATTTTAATGGGCTTTTCAAATACAATTCCATAGAAGTCTCCACTAGAAGGAGCTTTACCCCAGAAATACTCATCAATGCTGCTGTAAGCCTTGCTTGCCTCATAGTTTTCAAATACATTCATGTTGGTGTGCAAGTTTGCAGGTGGGTTGTCAGGGATATCAAATGACTCCTCTTCGAAATCATCATCTTTTAACTTATTTTCAGCTCCTTTGTAAGATGAGTAGTATCCCATGTGCTGGAACAGAGATGGCTTAAAACGTATCACTTCCTTTTGAGCTAACAGCCCACGAAAGTGGATGAGCAGCCAATCGCAAGGCATTTCTTGGTAAAACATCAACAGAAAGTGAGCCAGTCGTGGGAGGTCATGAGAATGGTAAAGCTTTCCAATGTATCCCAGTTTAGAGAATTCCAAAGTCACCCAGTAGGATCCTTCTCGTGAGGTAATTACTTTCTTAACAGCAGTCAAAAAATTCTTTGAGCAGCGAACATCGTCTTCTAGCATCACATAATAGTCAGAAAGATTAGCACAAAAGTTTAGAAGGAAAGCGTAATCTACATTTTGTTTTGATCGAAACTTCACACGGTCCTCTGGGTCATTGTAATTTCTTTTGAGGCCATCCAGTACAGGATAATAATCCTCAGGGACGTGAATAACTATTAATCTGCCTGCAATTATATGATGTGCAAATTTCTGTGAAATATCCTGGACCATCCCTTCACACCAGGCTGAGTCAAAATCTGCCAGCTGTACTACCACTGCGATTTCTTTGAGTTCCTCATAGCTTGACTGTTCAAATATGGATTTGATGGTCTCAAGCAAGTAGTTTCCCTTTTTCCGTTTTACAGAGGATAATCCAATTGTAAGATACCCTGTACAAAAGACAATTTAAACAAAAACTGAGTATCTGATATTGGAAACAATTTTGTCACAAAGCTATTCTCCAGAGCTGTGCTTATATTAAATACACCTTGTGAATGGTGAAGAGTGAGAAATTTGGTATGTGAACTTATTAAGTTGTATGTAATAAAGGACCTTTATTGCCTTTTTGTAAAGAAGTAACGTATTGCAAGCAAATAGACATATGGAGACTAGCGTGTCAAACATTTGCTTGTTAACTGCAAGGAATGGCATGTCGTGGTTGGACGCGAAAGCAACATGTACACCTCGTAGATGAAACCACACAGACAACAATAAGGGTGTAAACTCTGTTAAAAGAAAGGGGTTTATGAGGTGATTACTCACACAATATTTTTAAAGCTAAGAACTGCCAAATGCAGCACAAAAATATGATACATAGATTAATTGCCAAACTTTTATAATTTTAAGCCCTCTAAAAGTCTAGCAACATTTATGCATAGCTGCACAGTGTTATGGATTTTGCATGGATAATTTATTTTCAGCATGTTCCTTTTTTAGTTGAATTTGTCTAGTTTTCCTTTTTCTAACCCTTTGTCAGAACTCATTGAGCATTTTACAGGGAACTCCTTTTTCCAAGATGCAATTCAGATATTATTTTAAAGTAGAACAGAACTTGTTTCTCTTCTTTTTTGTACAAATAATTTTAAATGATGTTACATCTTTCTAGAGAGAGATGTATCTTATGATAAGGGAAGAATTTTCATCTCTGCCGTTTTGTAGTCACTGCCATTGAATTTTTACCAGCATTCCAAATCAGTTTTGTTTTCAGATATTTGCTAATATATCTCTATTTTTCTAACTTCTGATGTAAAAAATTTTAAGGCTTTGTAAATGACAGAGTGTCTTTCAGTTGAACTTACCCCAACTTTCTTAAAATATGATGGTTTGTAAAGGACTACTCTGATGGAATGATACAGTGTTTCCCTCGAGGCTTAAGTCAGCTCAAAAAGCAGTTGTACAGTCAAGTACAATCCCAGAAGTCATTTACGCTGCCTACAGAGGCCCAGATTTTTCAAATCTAATTTGAACAAACTTTATAGCTTTCCACAACTCACATACTATTTTATTTTACCTTCTGTGTTTGAACTTCTGAGCCTTGCGAAATGATTGATTTGGAACACAAAGGACACCTGTCTAAAGGTTAGGAAGGCCATATTTCACTTCTAGAAGAAAGTCTTAAACTTGATTTCTTGTCTGAAACCAGAGTAACTAAACAGTCCATCTGCAGATAGCTCTGAAAAGAATCCTTTACTGTCCCCATAACAGCACAATTCACCTCCCTTATTATCATAGCTAAAGGAACAAGGAGATCCATTCACAGCTGCTGGGCTGGCAGAATAGGGAACCTGAAGGGTGTATCTATGTGATCCCAAGCATACTTAAGATTGGATTTACTGGTTATACAGACAGAGATTGATAGGATGGTCTCAGAGGGTGGTTACAGTAAACCACCATCATATGCCTTGCTTTTGCTTTCTAAATCATCATCATCTTGCCTGGGAGGAGATCCATAGAAGTGTGTTCACACAGACCATCCAGGGGCTGCCTGAAGACTGTCTGCAAGTCAGCCATTTGGTCAGAAGGTAACCAGGCTGTGGGGCAATCACTGCTAGGCCTGTACTTGCATTTGCTCTAGAACTGCCTGTGCAGAGATAGCTGTCTCACTAACTCTTTTGAGATTGTCAGTGCTTAACTCAGCCAGTCTTGCCTAGAAATACCAGAGGGACTATATGGATTTCATCTGTTTTTAAATTACCTCATTTCATAACTTTCAGATTGCAGTTACTTACTTTTCCTTGGCAAAGGTGTACCAGCTAAGAAGCGATAGGAAATGTTTATAGATCCTGAGAAATTAGACAAATCTTTAAAACTGTGAACATAACGCTCTGGGTTGAGCTGGTGCGTGGCTGTTTCTCTGATTAATTGCTTGTCCCCTTCCTAATATTGGGAAAACAAAAAGAATAGAAGAGGGAGAGAGACAGAGAGAAACACATTTGTGAGTGCCACCTAAAGAAGAAACATGGACAGACAGGTTTCCAAGAGTAACATTTTTCAGTGTCAGCTTTTGTGAAAGCACGTATATGTCACCTCATTTAAAAAACCAACCAACCAAACAAAAAAACCCAAAAAAACCCACCAAAAAAAACCCCAAACCAAAACATTACTGAAACATTACAGAAAATCTACCACAACCTTTCAGATTACAGTAACAGGAAAAGAAAAAAAATATTTTGCACAACATCTCTCGAAAAGTTGCAAACACTAAACTATTGGCAAAAAAAATGCTATGGTATTCAAAAGAGGGTTCTGTCAGCAACAGATAACTTTCATCGATGTAGAAGTGGGAGAGATTTTTTCTAAATGTTTTCAGTGATTAAAAAAAGCCACTGAACCTGCTGCAAATGAAAGACAAAACTAGATTCTGTCATCAGGCTCATTTTGCCATTTTTCTGAAAAACTTCTACTCAGATTTGTGATAAGAAGAAATACATGTGATCATGCAGACAGCAAAAGCTTTCTCTGAATTTGATGAACACTGTTTGATGGCATAGAAAAAAAGGCACATTTCTCACCATGCCTCCTCTTCCTGCCTCCTCCTTTAGTCTTTTTCTTCCAAAAGGCTTTCCTAACAATAGTGAAGTCACAGAAGGGAAAGAGCAGCTTCATGAGTAGTGCCCTATCCATAAGGTCACTTGAGCTTCTGGAAAAATTTGTTCCTTAATACTTAAGAAAAGGGAAAGTATCTAACAGATTGTAATATCATGAGACTGAATTTAAAAGTAGGAATGCTTATTTAATTTACCTGGTTTGATCTTAGTCTGATGACAGGCCCATGTATGAATGAGTTCATTTATTCTGATATATACAGTATGTTTATGCACTAAAACCTCCTGATCTGACATTAAATGGGAGCACTCCACAATAATAGTACTGCTGATAACAAGAACAATCACAGAAACAGTAAACAACACTCATTTAATGACACAAATATTAGAAAAAGGTGTCAAAGATATATTTTACAGCACAAAGAAATATTTCTGTAAACTGATCTTATATCCATTTAAAGTTCATTGTTTTTCTTTCAAAGAAGTAGTAAATCCACTTCTGAGCTTAGTAAGGATCTTTGGCAGACATCCAGGGGTATCTACCCACACTGTTATGCTCTCTTGATCTGCAATATCTCTCGAGCAATTTCTCTCTATTCCTTCTGTTCTACTTTGTATTTACTCATAAGTTATGAGAGGAAGTTTGATGATTAGATTCAAGATTAAAATGTATCTCAGTGGTCTAGGAATAGAATACACAAAAAAAAAACAGATGGAAAAAAAATGGGCCAGTTCAAAAACTTTGTTTTTTAAAATCAGCCTTTCTTTGATGTCAAAAGATTGTGTGTCATTGGTTCCAGAACAGAGCACCAAAATTCCTTGTTTCATAAGAAGGTTTTGGAATGGAAACCCATTCTGCTGAGGTTTTCCTACATAAAAAGTTTCAAAATGTTTAGAAATAGACAATGTCAGAACAAAATGTTTTGATTTTAACAAGCAAAATATTTAGGCTGACCACAAGAATTTTCCTTTTTTTTTTTTTTTTTTTTTTTTTTTAAATAAATGCCTTTTGTGGCTAACTTTTTTTTTTTTTTTTTTGATAGTTGCTATTTTCATTCTTTTGTTGAATGATGGGCAAAGCTGACATATGGATTTTTCCCAAAAGATTAAAATCTGTTTCTTCTATCTCAGACTACTCTGCAGAGGTCAGTGAAGCCGAGGAGCTTGATTAATTCTCTTTGTTTGTCTTCTCTAGGTTTTTTTTTATGATGGTTCTGGCTTTCATCTGTTAACTAACCTCTAGCTTACATTCCAGTGTTTGCTGAAGCTTGGGAGTTTTATGTGGGTGCCATAGGTTGAAGTGCCAGAAGTTCTCCACTCTTTATGGAGATACTCTGCTCTGCTAAAGATGCTGTGTCAGCTACAATACTACTATTGTTTCCATAGTGCCCAAAACGGTGGTAAGTATTCATAGAAGAGCACAAAACACATGCTTTGCTTACAGTTCACTTACAACTCTGAAAAGGTTTAAAAACCCCACTGCATATATTGTGATATTTGGTATATATTAATTCAGTATGTCTTCAAAATACTCGATCAAATGTAGTTCATATGTTACAGATGAAGCACCTTAAACTGCTTTTCTAATATACATGCATCAGCAGTGCATAACTGCATACCCTCTATCCAACATACTTAAGCAATTTTGCCACAAGGGCCCTTTCTATTTCTGCAGCAAATGCCCTGCAGACAACAGTTATGGGATTTTTTGGACATGTGAGACTCTTTGAGTAAAACCAGAAAGGTTCTCCTCTCCCTTCCTAAGACTTCCTATAGTGAATCTCACTTTATTATTCTAACACTGAAAAAGACTACTCATCTCATCTTACATGTGGTGCCAGAGATACCAACTCCGCAGTCCCTTGCCCAGCCTGCTGCCTGAGATTGGGAAGAGGAACTCAGGGTGAGTTACCTTCCTTCTATCAGTTACCTTAAGCAGATAGTCCATCAGGAGATAGGCTACAATTCTGAGCGTCTTCGGGGCTCTGAGGAGTTTTATATTCCCATCCCCGAGGGGAACTGGTTAGCCTGTTGTCCTCAAAGGCTTCCCCCAAATATCTCTCTTCTCACCACAAACACTGAAATTGCTCATCTTTTAACTCAGCAGAGAAAACACACAGACATGGAGTGTTTGGAGCTGTCAGATATGGTCAGGGAAGTTGAAAATAAAACTAAATAAATAAACTAAAAAGTCAACAGCCTAACACATTTGAGAAACACTTGATGGACCATAAAGGTATCAAGAGATCCAGAAGAACTGTCAGGAGACTTGGCAAGAGACTTGGCTGGGAGCTACATGAATGCAAACATGCCAGAACAGTGATGAGAGAAGCAATGAAAGAGAGAGAATTTATAAAAAAGTGGGGAAAAGAAGAGAAAATTAAGACATGGAGCCATCTGGGGAGCTGGCAAATAGAACAGGAAAGGATTTCAAAAACAAACCAAGAGGAACACCATTAGCAGTAATAATAAAAGCACTTTCAGAAACATCTGGGGGACTTTGAAGCAATTAGAGAATGGAGAAGAAACATCAGGGAAAATACCACTAGGAAAAAAAAAAAGTGACAAGCCAGATCAAATTTGGTCATAACCAAGAAATGTTAAATAAATAAAAGAGTGAAAAACTTTAGTTTTAGTGAATGCACTATGTCTGTAATGGAGTAACATGCTAGAGGCATGGGTTATGTTTTCAGTGACTTAAAAAAATACTAGTGTAATCTCAATTTGTAATAATTTACAATACTAAGTAATTTCAGAAGTAAAATATTTTGAATTAAAATAACTAGGAAGTTATATATGGTTCTGATAAGTAATTTAAAGATTTTACTATTTGTGTATTACACTTCTTGTCATAGTGTTATGTTTCTTTTCAGGTCCAACTTGAAACCGAACTTCACCTTTCAGAATATGGGAAAGCCCATACTTTCCCAGTTCAATTAGAGATCAAGATGGGAATGTCTAATCATATCACAATATAACATATTCATTTTAGTCATTTTACTATTTGCAAGCTCCAGTTGTTAAACCACCATGTTCTTTTACTTGCAAAGAACTGGAAATTCAATCCACTAATCAAGACTTCAGGGCTTGTTTGACAGTCAGCACTGAGACACCCCTATGTCACATATAAACTGTAGAGTTATGTTACATTGTCAGAAGCTTATTTTTTGAAATTTCTAACACAAATCTTCCCATATTTTTATTTTCAAAATCATAGACTGGGTAGAATTTATGTCTACTTGTTAATGCTGTAGCAGTGAACCTGTCAGACTCAAATCTGAGATACAGAAGGTGAGAAAAACACAAAATAAAACCACTAAAAAGAAATTATTCATGCAAGGAGCATAAAGTAGATGGAATTAATGTGAGTTCTCTTTTATCATTTTATTTTTATAATAGCCTTTAAAGCAGTATTCATGGATGAATTTGCAGTGTGGACTGAAATTAGCTCACGCAAATATTTCAGATATAGTCTATTTTCAACATTAAAATTGAGGGAAATACAGAAGTATGGAAAATGTAGAGGATATTTTGACTCAAAGGACACTTGATGGAGTTACCTTCATGTTTTTCTATACTCATTATCTCCCATACTTCCAGTAAACAGTGATATATTTATTTCTGTGGAAAGGACTGTTAGGATTTTACTGACACACACTGTATGAGGTATACATTAGGGAGATGGTTTCATCATAAAGGACACATCTTGAGGATAATTCACTGTTAATGGTACACAAACAGGGAAAATTGAAGGAATTATGAAATTTAGTGTTTAACTAGGGATATATCCTGTTTTCTGGTTCTAGGATAGTTTCTCCCATCTAAAAAACTTACCAGAACGTAACCGTCTTCAATGTACAAGTTCATGAACAGCAAGCAAACAACAAGGACTCCTAAGAATGACACTGCTGATCTTTTCCGCAAGCATCTCATTTTATCAAAATATTTCAAGCTGTGTCTCATGTGAAGAACAGCATACAGTAGTGTCACCTATGAAAGAAAACCACAGTATTACAAGAACTGTCTGCCCAATAAACATTAGAGCAAATCAACTTACCTTCAGATATATCATATCCCTTCAAACACACAAAGACTCTACATTTTCAGGTGCAATTAATTTCATTTAATCATTGTCATCTCCAAGTTGATATAGTTAAGATACAGTTAAGATCACAAACAATCTTAACTATAATTTAAGTTTTCCTTTTTTGTTTGTTTGTTGTGGGTTTTTTTTGTCAGTAAAGAAAAAAAAACTCTTTACCATACCCATTTTAGGCTGGAATTATTATGTCACTGTGGCAGGAGTGCATCAGCAGTTCAGTTTCCTCTGCTTAACTGTCAGGTCCCAACTTGATGGCTACAGATGATGCTGTGCATTGTTCTCCTATGTACCTAGGTCTCCTCCCAAGGACATGTCAAGTCAATAGGCAAGAATGAAGCTATTGCATGACTGTGTTGTTGCCAATAGAAGAATTCTGGATACCAGAACTTCCAGGAACAGATGAGGTACCTTCCCTGAGGTGAAAAAGCAGTAGCAAGGCTGTGCAACATCCTTTAACCTTAGACCTCTGTACCACAATGGAAAAATTTTCACTTTACATATCATTTTCTTCTTCTGAAGAAAGGTGTATTTCTGTCTAAAACCAGAGACATTTAAGCAGAGTGTTGGGAAGTCCTGACCTAATTAAACGAATCAAAGAAGAGGGGCATGGAGGATTATGAAGCCACTCCATTCAAGGTCAAGAAGAAGGACTGCCTAGTCATATCACAAAGTTGCATATTGATTTTAGCCATTTTACTCTTTAAAACAAGATGAATGGTATTCTTGCCCACCAAATCATAAACAATAACATATGTAGGACTACAAATGTTTGAACAAGATTTGGCCACAAACTGAAGATTGCACTGCCCAAACTCTAAGGGATTATTAGCAAAAAAGTACATTATAAGCTTATTATATACGTCCTCACTCGTATTTTGACTATTGTCCATAGCAATGCCTGATTTTTAATGCAATTTAATGTATAGAAGTCATATAAAAATTGAGTTTGAAGCTATCCTGTGTGAAGTAGCAAAAAGCATGACATGCACAATGGTTAAACCCTGTACTGAATACCAAAATTTTCATAAGCATTGAATATCTAAACTGATACAAAATAGGCCAAATTAGGATTTCCATAAAGATTTGTCATGTCATATATAAAATTTTCTGCCTTAATAATAAAAAAACCTTCCAAGCACAAAATTCAATATGTATTTGTTTTGTCAAATTGAATAAATATATCTAACAATATAAAATATGAGTCCATTAACCTCTAGAGAGCTGGAAGGTAAATATATCAAATATTAGTAATGCAGATGTATAGCTGCAAGGTTTTGTCCACATAGATTCAAAATAAACTGCAGTAAATGGAGACTGGTTTAACACAGAATATTTTTAAATTCACTACAGTGAGAATAAAACCAATTTACATGTTGCATGTAGAAAAAAAAAGGCATTGATAAGAATTTAGATTTTTGTCCTTATGTATTTGAGGGTGGGCTAAATTACAGAAGCCTGATTATCCTGAAGGTGAAAAAGCCCAATGTAGATTTTTTTTTAAAGTTACATCAAGGATTTCCTTTTTCTTAATATCCAATGAACACAAACATCAGGAAGAAGCTGTTAGGGACATGAATCTCCAAACTCTCCCTAACTCCCTGCACCTCCCTGTGGCAGCATAGTAGTTGCTTGTGTCTATAGATTCCAGCAGGCTGTTGAGGAAATGAAAGACTCTGTTACACATACAGTTTGGGTTTGTTTTGTTTTTTTTTCTTTCTCCTTTTACCACACTCTCCTTTTTCTCACAGTATAATTTCTGATTTTCAAAGCAGTACATTCTTTTAAAATCTTATCAGAGGATCACTGGATGGATTAAACACTGACACTTCTCAGATAGGGGCATTAACTACCCTGACAATTGAAAATGCAGGTAGTCTGAGTTAAGAGTGCTTGCAATCACTGGCAGCTTATTACATTCTGAAGTTTTTCTTTTGACAATTTAGGAATAAATAAATGGGGGTGGGAGGTGGGGGGTGTGTTTCAGTGATGACTGTGCTGTATTTGTTGACTGGACTGCAGTGTTACACAGTTCCCCCACCTTCACTCTGAGCGACCTGACTGAAGTCCCTAAGGATGAGGAAGAGGAGTTACAACTATATTTGCTGGTCATATTATATTAGTTTTTTCCCACTGTATTTTTCATTAGACAATTACTATGTTGGGTTGGCAACAAAAATTGGGGGAATTACACAAGTGAGGATGGAGGAACATAAAACTGTCATGACTAAAGAAGATGTACAGAAAGCAGAGAGCGCAGTACGGTCACCACTAGAAGGAGAACACCTGGATTACTTGTGTGGTTTCACAGGAAGCCTTTACATGACTGTTTTACAAATGGAAATAGCTGAAAGCAAAACATCAAGCATCATGCCAGTGAGGTTTTTTTCCACTCATCAGACCTATTGGTAGGTCCATACAGAGAAAAGACACCAAAGCGGAGGACTCTCTGAGGAGAGTGTGTGCTCCGGTAGATCCGTAGGTGCCAGGGGAGGCTCTGACAGCACTGCTGACACGAGGTGGCAGTGCGGACACGCTCTTGCCAGCCCCCGACCAAGCTCCTCGACCCGTCCCTCCCAACCAGTTTGTCCGAAGGTGCTGTTTGACATCCTTATACTAGAATGCTCCCAGGATCATACAGATGCACATACAGAATTCTTTACGTCTTCTTAGAGCTTCTTCCTCTTGCAGCTCCGTTTCCAATCTTTAGCATTGCACTGTGGAACACTCCACAATTTAAATTTGCACAGAAAAAAGGTACATCTTAATCATTTTTCCCAAGTTATGTCATTCACATTTTGAAAAATAGTCTCAGAACTTCCTGCAATGGGACCCCTGGTGTTCTTTAAGACCATTTGAGCAAAATATTCACCATTATTAAAAACCTAAGACTGTGTTGTTGAAAAAAAGGATTCAATTCTTAATTCAATTCTGAAGGCACAGCTTTGCTTGAGGATTTTATGCCTTCATTATTCATGCACAATTAAGTAACTATCAGGATGGTATAAATGCAATTTGTTTCATAAAGCTGGCATTAAGCAGTTAAACATAGTAATTAATAAACATGCATGAATTATAAATCTCTTCTTTTCTAAATGAGATGTATTGCTTTCCTCAGTCTCTTCAAAGAGAACTTTTAAGACCTCAAATCCCTCTGCACATGTATGTTTTGCTATCAGACATACATGTGCAGTTTTACATAGTAATATGAAACTATGACTTCTTTGACTTTCGAAAATGATACAGCAACGGAAAGGTGGTGAGCTAAAAAATGTAATGATATACCTTTGCACTGTGAAGAGGCTGTTCTTTATGAGATCTGAAAAGGTGTGAACACTGTATAAAAGTCCAAGATTGATTTTCACATGATAATGTGAAGTTTTCTTTTGAAGGATTTGCAACACTCAGCAGAATTTTAAAATTTTTCAAAAAAAGTAATTCCCAAATGACCATTCAGAAAGAGTATGTTCTTAATAAGCCAAGTCCTTGAAACAAAAAAATTAAAGTATTTAAATTTAAATATGTTAAAATTTTTAAACTTACTAAATTTTTATTGCAATGTTCCCAAGAGGAAAAAATTACACAAAGAAAGATTTTTTTCTTTATTTTCCTCTTTTCCAAGTAAAAGACTTTTTGCCCTCCCTATATTACTCTACTCTAGGACAATATATGCACATTCACTGTGGTAAACCTTTTCATATTTGATCCACTCTAATTCTTCATCATTTTCTGATAATACTAGGAATTTGTGCTTTGTCCCATTTTCAGAGATTATTGTTTACTTTCCTGACATATTTTCTCCATAAACAGATACAAGGCCCTGTGGTGTTCCTTTACCCTTAAGGATACCAACTCAAGTTAAGGACTTAGCCTTACCTAACAAGTACAGTGAATTTGCTTGTATGTACAGCTGTACAGAGAGCAACAAGGTCATCTTTGTATTATATTCTAGTCTGCTTGAGCACTGTGCCCCAGAAGCTAGAGAAAAGGTGCTTATTTGCAGAGGCATTGATGGTTGTCAGAAGTGGCAACTGCATTATTTTTACATTCTAATATTTCCAAATGAGGCACGTAGTTTTGCCTGTCACTGCAGAGTATATATTCCAGGAGGTAAAGTAGAGCTGATCCACTACCACATTTATTATATCAACAAAATCCATAGATAACACACAACCCTCCCCATGACTGGATTATTAAATCCCTTGTGAACTTTATTGCAATCCCTGATTTGTCTAAAGCACTCAGAAGCAGGCACTTCATTCCTCAGTTTTGTGACATACCATTCCACTAGTAACATTCAGTCTGTAACTGAATTGCTTTACTTGAAGTTCTTAATGCTTGTCCAATTTGTTTTTCAGTTTTTCTTTTTGGAAGGCTGCACACGATGCCTCAGGATTGCATTCAGTTGTCTTTATGAAATGGCAGAGGAAATACTTTCAGGAAAAAAAAAGGAAAAAAAGAACAAAATGGATTTTTAAAAATTGTTATAATTACATTTTGCATGTGTCATGATCTTCTTATACAAGATTAAAAAAACAAATTCTAGGCTGTGATATACATTTGAGCTACAGATGGTAGTGAACTGGAGAATTATAATGTATAGGCTATTCCATGGGGCTCAGACAGACTCCCAGTAAGATTTGCTGTTTGCCTTACTGAAAGCCTGAAAGTACTTATGAAATGTTTAAGGTTGACAGGCAGGATGTTTGATGTCACTGGCAGCAGGGAAGTAAAAACTGGCCTGAAGAAAGTGAAAGTTTAACTTAGAAAGAGGCTAAAAATTCCAGATGATAGAGCTTAGGTTTTAGACTAGACCTAATCATATTGTTTGGATGACTTTCCATTGTGTAGCTTCACATGCCTAAAATAAATGGTTAAAGATTATCATATC